CACGCACACACACACACACACACACACACACACACACACACACACACACACACACACACACACATCTTATGTTTTTTATTACTTTCTTGTAAAGCAATAATTGCTAATTTGAAATAATGATGAGGATTCCGTCATTACGATACATTTTGCTGAACTAATGTTGAACTAATGCGAATTATCTTCGCAGCATCGGTCGAATGATTCTGACGAAGGCACCGTGGATCTTCGATCCTAATGGAGACAAGGATAGAGAAGACATAACGTCGCTCTACAAGGCCAAAGAAGGTAAATGTTGCAAGAAAATTGCCTTCGGCATATCGTCCTATAATAAACTCACAACTCGAACAACGAACAAAGATATTTTATGTTCCATGAAAAGCCACATTTGGACGATTGATCGGGAGTTTATTTTAATTTTTTTAATAACTTTTAGGCACCGAGGTTGAGAGGCTGACCCTATATAGGGCAGTGCGCAGCACCGAAATGGCGAAGAGATTCTACTCGCTGCCGTCGCCGGGTAAGGAAGATGTTGAGTTCGATCTTATGGAGCTCGAACGCGTCAACATCGGTGAGCCATTCGCTGTGACGGTGAACATCAAGAACAAATCTAACGAGCTACGCACCATTCAGGCTATCCTGTCCGCCGGCAGCGTTTACTACACTGGAGTTAAGGCGAAGCTGGTAAAGAGAGCTTCCGGCGATTTTGTGCTTCAACCGAACGCCGGTAAGAAGAATAATTCCTGCGCATTTTTTTTTTCTAAACGCTTACGGCGAAAGTCAATGGATACTGCGAAAATATTATGTCAATATTAGAAAGATGGTAGTTTGTCGAGGTATCGATCAAAGCTTGAATTGTAAATACGGGAAGAATTGCGAGGAGTTGCAAGTTGACGAGTGATTTCTGAGAATCGAAATATGTGAGAATTTTTACATATAAAAGAATTTTACATTTACAAATCTATTATTAGAATTAATGATACTAAAAATAGAACGAAAGGTCGATAAATATGACACGTTAAATTATTGCATTTAATGTTTTATTCCCGTAGCTAATGTCCCAGCATTTACGAGAGAGGCGATTGATTTGCTTGGTTAATTTTGTCTGGAATTTCTAGATAATGATAATTTATTGGGTAATCAGCAAATGAGGAAAGAACTGTGTAAATTTTATTGCGCCGTTGTTTAACTTCTTTGCGCTCAATTATCTGAGATTGACTTCTGTCCTTTACGTACATGCACTGAATGTTTGAATTGTAATTCTCGTATTTTAATTCATTGTAGTGGAACAATTAAGACTCACTGTGACAGTGAATGATTATCTGGATAAATTAGTAGAGTATTGCATTATGAAGCTATATTGCATCGCCACGGTCAAGGAAACTCGACAAACTTGGGCGGACGAGGATGATTTTCAAGTTTTAAAGCCGAATATCGTAGTCAAGGTACTGTAACAAAAATCAAATCAAACTAGAATTTATTAGTCTAACGATTTTCAGTTTTAATTTTTATAATTTTTTTTATGTTTTGTATGTTTTTTTTATGTTTTTATACGATTTTCAAAATTTATTTTTTAAATATTGAACATTAGGCAACCTAAATTAATTAGACCCACTAGTTATATGATCATCATTTATCTTTTGTGTTATGTATTTCTAATACACAAATATCTACATATTTTTCTTTTACTCAGAAAATTATCTATGAACTATTTCTAACGTTTCAGATCGAAGGTGAACCAACAGTTGGACAACCATCGACCATTTCGCTGAGCTTTAAGAATCCCTTGAACAGGTCCTTGACCAATTGCATGTTCAACTATGCCGGACCTGGGCTCTCTAGAAACAAGACTTTGACCTTCAGAGACGTCGGACCCGAAGAGGACGTTTACGTAGAGCATCAACTCGTACCGCAAAAGCCCGGAGAGCAAAAAATAATCGCCACTTTCACATCAAAGGAGTTGGTTGATATCACCGGTTGCGCGACTGTCGATGTCCTTGAAGCCGAATGAGTCGCAACATGATTGTTCAAATTCATTTCGCATTCTCAATTCAAAGCACGTTAAGAATATCAAGTGCATCCGATTGATTGTCGTGATAACATAGATTATAAAATATTTTGATTTTGACTATGTCATACGTAATATCGTTTAAGTAACATCTTTGCAAATTAATTTCGCTATAAATAATTTGGATTAAACAATTTCGAATACTATTTTGTAATATCAATTTGTAACGAAATGTTAATCTGTAACGAGGGATTTTGGCAAAAATAGGACTTAAGTTTAAAATGAGAAATTAGCAATGTATAGGACATATCATCAAAATAATGTATCGAGAATAATTCAACCCTTCTTTCTTTCCAATATTAACCCTTTATTGTTACATAAGTTTTACAAAATATTTTTATTACTTTGCAAGAGAATCTTTTTTACTTTCGTAAGTTTATATTTTTTTGTATGTCAAACATTTAATAAAACGAATATATATTATAACAAATGCAATAAAATGTAACATGTACAAAAATATATTTGAAATCAAAGAAAACAAACTTAAAAGAATATCAGTGAAATCCATATTATGCTACGCGACATTTGAATATATAACGTAAATTACAAGATTATTTCATTGAATCGCATTGGAAGGAAAATTGCAAACACCAAAATACTACAGTACAAATGATGCAACAGTAGAGAGGAAACAGGTTCTCACGCGAAATAAAAGAAGTTCTTTTAATCGCCGCAGGAAGTGCTAGAGGTTTATTAATCATTCTCTCCATTTCGAAACTTTCATCATTTCCACTTCTCTCCGGTTGTAGTAATTCGAGCGCATATTTCTCTTGTGTGTCATGTATCAGCAGTTGCATTAACAACTTCATTTCGCGATCAGAGATTTCATTTCGCTCATTTAGACTCGATCCTGCAACCGTTTCTTCGTCCTTTAGAACAGCATTGTTTTCTTTATGGTCTATTTCAGAACGAATGTCCTCCAACGACGAAAATGCGGATTTGTATGGTTGATCGGAGCTATTGCACGAGTACGTAAAAAATCCGTCTAAATGATCGTTATTCACAAAGTGGTATGCCGCTTTGCGTTCGGATTTTAT